CCCAATTTACCAAGGTTTTAAGGGATAGGGATCAAATTTTTAGATCTTAGTGTTTATTACAATTCCTTTCTGTTGCATTCAGCAATGCAAAGTTCCAAAGGAATCTGTTATGTGGGGAATATTTATATAATTAAAAAGTCAATAATTGGAAAGCTATTAAAGGTAAAATAAATTTGCCTGTTGGACCATGTGCCAAGATGGTACTTCAGTTTCTAGTTAGGAAAAAAACTGCTACTTCCCTTTCACTTCAGTGTCCATCTAGTTAGGAAAAACTGACCTGTTATAAGGGGAAAGATTAGTTTTTATTTTCAGTTATTCTAACATATGACATAGAGCAGAGATACTAGAAACAAAATTTTATTGTTGAATTTTTTTCCTGTGTCCTTTGAAAAAGAATACACAAATATGTGTGCTATTCTTTTTCAGTGATTTCTCCCCATCACTATAGCCTTTTTTTTATTATTAAGGTATCATTGAAACACACTCTTAGGAAGGTTTCACAAGAAAAACAATGTGGTTATTAAATTCACCCTTATTATCGAGCTCCCCCTATACTCCACTGCAGTCCTGTCCATCAGTGTAGTAAGATGCCAGAGTCTCTATTTGTCTTCTCTGAGCTACACGGTCTTCCCCGTGACCCCACACACACCATGTGAACCAATCATGATACCCCACAATCCCCCACCCCTCCCCTTTGGTAACCACTAGTCCCTTCTTGGCATCTGTGAGTCTGCTGCTGTTTTGTTCCTTCAGTTTTGCTCCACAAATAAGGGAAATCATTCGGTATTTACCTTTCTCTGCCTGACTCATTTCATTGAACATAATACCCTCTAGCTCCATCCATGTTGTTACAAATGGTAAGATTTGTTTTTTTCTTATGGCTGAATAGTATTTCACTGTGTATATGCACATCTTTGTTCATCTACTGATGGACACTTAGGTTGCTTCCGTATCTTGGCTATTGTAAATAGTGCTGTGATAAACAGGGGTGCATCGTCTTTTTGAATCTGAGAAGTTGTTTTCTTTGTGTAAATTCCTAGGAGTGGAATTCCCAGGTCATCACTAGCTTTTTTTTTTATCACTAGCTTTTTAAAACAATTTTGTTAGTGATGCCTTGATTTTTACACTTCCTGCTCATAGTATGGGCTAGGACTTTTTTTTTCAGTTGTACCAAAAAGGTAAATGAGATGTCTTACCTGGAAAACTGAGATCCTTAAAGTGCAGCTGAGTTGGGAACTTGTCTATAGGACCAGAACCTGTCCCTGAAAGGATCCCCTCAGGCTTTATCTACCTGAAATATTTGTCACTCTTTCAGGAATGCAGGAGGGGTTCTGTGGTGTCTTGAAGGCTACCAACATGCAAGCATAAGAGCACTTATGACAAAGCTTTTAATGCTGCTTCCTAATGGAAGCCCAAAGGATAAGGCTGCCCTTTTCCCTCCCCCTTGTGCAAAGCCTTTTGCCAAGAATACCACAGCCCCCAGCTGAGTTGGACTAGCAGCACTCCTGAACAGGAGACTGTCATATGCAGAGAGTCTTGGGGCTCTTGGCTGGCTGTTGTAGGAAGTCATTTTATAAAACTGAGTTGGGGGGGTTTCCGGTTTTGTGTTGGCGGGGAACAGGAAGCTTCTTGGCCTGATAACCAGCCTGAGCGGAGAAGAGGAAAGAATCCAGACTCCAGCCCGTATCATCAGCTTTGGCTGAAGGCTTGAAAATCTAATTAGGAACTCTGCTGTGTTGTGGGCTTTGTTAAAGAACTGTACCTGTATGAGCACCTAATGCTGTGGTTTCAGGTAGAGACTCCCTGAAGTTCAGCTAGAAGGTTGCCTTTAGAGTGAAGACACTGTCAATCCCAGGAGTGGGTATCTGGGATCTGCCACAAGCCAGAAAGATCAGTGAGGGCAGTATGGGGCCTGGTGGTGGGAAGGTTAATGAAACCCCTCTTTTGTTAGGCTTAACCATTGGTTCTTTGAACCGGGGCTGGGTATTTTACGGCAAGCAGCTTGAGAACAGAGCACAGTCACCATGAAACCCTCTCAATACCACGTCTGAGGAGTCAGGCTGTAAGAGCTACAGTGCAAGTACAGTAGCAAAGATTGTAACTTAAGCCTAACACTGGGAATTGCTTTCCAGACAGCCTCTTGCAGTACATGTACAGACTGGGGCAGGAGGCCTGTAGGACAGCAGAGGACCTCCAGGGTCCAAGCTCTCCATCCTTGGGGACACGTTACTGAGCAGTTTTCTAGTTTTTGTTAAAAAGTAGAACACAGTCATAAAAGTTAATGGTACCTTGTGTACCTTGGTACACAAAGGCAGAAGGAAGCAATCAGTAATTGTCTCACCACCTGAGAAACTGAAAACAGCTGGTTTAAGAGGAAGTGGGAATGGTAGGTTATGGTCCAAGTCCAATCTTCCCAGTCACCTGAGGCCCACAATTCATTCTCGGAGTGATAAGGAATCTAGTCCCTTTACAGGGTGGGGCTCCAGGGCAGGCCTTCTGCGATGCCACCTGTGCTGGAACAAAGGCCAGGCTCACAGGAGGAAACGCCTACAGCCTGGTAAGCCCCTGACTCCTACACCCAGGTGGAACGAGTTCCAAGCTGGCCGAGGCATACGTGTGCTGACTCCTGTCCCCCACCCTGGAGGTTTTGCTTCTGCCTCCCTCTCCAGACCAGCCTGGCATTTGATGGGTGCTGCACTCAGCCTGCTGCAGTTCATTTTGTGGTCATAGCTCCTGAGCACCTTACGGGTGCCGAATCAGGTACCTATTAGGCCCTGCTCCACAACTGGTACCGAAAAGGTCTGTCTTTTTGCAGCCCTAGGGTTGAAGCCTGGTGAGGTAGGATGATTGTGGGTGCTCATTTTCCTTCTGTGTAAATTTAAGTTAGTTGAAATATTTTGTATCTTCCTAGCTTGGCCTTAAAGGGAAAGGGCTGGAGTGAGCATTGAGAACTCACTAAATACTAGGTACTTAAAGACATTAGTTTTTCTACTGAGTCCTCCAACAAAGGTTAAAGTAGGAATCATCCCCTTTGCAGATCCCTGTGCTGAGGTGAATTAACTCAGAAGGAATTGCCAGTTCACATCTACTAGGTATGGAAAAACGTCAAAAGGAAAGAAAATGCAACCCTAACAGGGTTAGATTTTGGTGCTAGCATTCACAGTAAAGCAAGGGCTTTAGTCACCAGGCCCACACAGTTCAAGGTTAATGACCTTACTGCTGATGGCTCTTTCACTAAACTAGGGGACCTGCCTCGAGCCCCTAACAGCATCTTTCTCCCAGGCAAAGAGATTAGAGGGCTGTATTCAAGCCTATTTTTAGTTCATTAGCCTACTTTTCCTAAAGGAGGGTGGGACTTGGGCTGGGACCACTTGGGTTATGTACTAAAGAGACATCCTTGTCCGACAGTACTATCAAGGAAAAAAGCTCTGGTTCACATGCTAGAGTAGGTCTAGAATAGATAAAAATGAGCTCTATCTATTGGGAACTTGTCTCAATTATTTTCTATTTGATTCCCAAGGCAGTCTGTTCAGGTGATGTAGTTCGGTTACTTCACCACCTCGGCTGGTTCTTTTATCCATGGGCAAGGCTTTAGGCCCAGCTCATCTCTCATAGAAGCACAGATGCAAAGGACTCTGCCCTTACTGCTGACATTGTGAGAAAACCTTCCAAACCAAAATGAGGACAGCCAACACACTCTGACCTCTAGCCCTGGGCGTCATGACTGAAGAGGGTCAACTTTGGAGAAGAAATAACCTCACCTGGCTTGCTTTTCACTTGAAGCACTCTTGCTTGCTTTATTTCTTATTTAAATGAAAAGCCAGCCAAGTGGGATTGTTTCTTTCACAAAGTTTATGTATGTATATATGTATATATCCCATTCCATGAGGGCAGATTTTCTTAGTGTGCACTCAGTATTAAAGCAATTTCCACATGACCAAAAATCTAAGTTCTAAAACTTTTGCCGCAACATTGTGTTTACTCTTATTCCCACAGAACCAAAACGGGTGTCTGAACTAGTCAAGACTGAGAGCCTTGCCTAGATGCCATGATAATGAGATGATGGGCCTTAGACCCCAGAAGTTGACAGTCTCTTTCCAGACAAGGATACCCAGAGACTAAAGCGGACAGCTGGGAAACACCAAGTTAAGCACCACTGAGGGTAATACATATCCCATTTCAGAGCAACAGTGTATTTTCACGGCTGTTTAACTACAGATGGCAAAGCCTCAAATGATGGGTAGTGACAGAATGTGATTCCTCCCACTGCCCATGGAATAGGTGAGCCACAGGTCCAAATGGATCCTGGAAAAGTTCAGAGAGAATTCTTTCTCTGAGACTTTAGGGAGGCCACAGACTCTAAGGAGTATTTGAAAAAGCAATTTTCGACAACACAAAAAGGTATCACTGTTAGCTGAGCATGCTAAACTCTATGCTTGCTTCTCACAAGACCTTGAGATTTAGGTCTTTAACAGAAAAGATCCTCTCCCACCTTATTAATTGAAGGTAATACTTTACCATGTCCCTTCCTGTGATCTTACTTGATCCTCACCCTGTTTTGGACAGGACTTTATGTATGAAAAAGCCAGTATTTTGCAGGTGATACCTGGTGTGAGCTGTTTCAAAGCTAAGAGTGGGCCATTTCTCCTATCCACAAGGAGTGCTGCAACACAAAAATGGAGATTTCCATGCCATTTTCTATTCCAGAACAAAGGATGAGATCTCAAATACTGGTTAACTTTATAGGTGAGACAGCCCACAGAGGTTAGAAAGGTAAGGGGGGAAAGGCAGCTTAAGCTGAAGACGTGAGAACCCATTAGAAAACGGTATCCGAAAATCTGATTTTGACTAACTAGAGAAATCTTCAAAAATAAACTGAAGTTACTTTGGAATGGAGAGGGGATCGGTCCACAATTTAAGCTTTGCAATGGGTATATTCCTGACAGGACATTACTATTTCATTAGGTCATTATATCTTACAAAGAAAACAATCCATGAGAAACGTTTGGAAATGCATTTAAAAGTGAATACCCACACAGATTTTTTCTACTTTGTAATTTGTATTTTTTAAGCCTCACAGATTTGTAGAGCTAATCGGAATGAAAAGAGGCTAGGGTATATCTGTGGAAAAGAAGAGGGTAAGGCTCACTGAGCATTTAACACTGAGTACCTGGCCCTCTAACATCTTGATCTTTGCCATAGCGCTTTGTGGTCGGTATTTCTGTGATTTTCATCTTCCAGGGAAGGCTGGAGGTGAAAAGTTACAGACCAGACATCCTGACTTCTTCACTTGGTCCGCCCTTTGTGGTCACTATAGATCAGAGCCAGAGGCTGCACAGAGATGTGGCCATTCTAAGGTGTGCTGCCTGGCCGTGAGCCATGGGTAAGAGTCATCCCACTTCTCTGCCTCCAGACACCACACTTCCACAGTCAGTCCTCCTGTTCCACACTTCTGGTTGTTAAGTTACCTGAGTTGGCCATTAGATTAAGCTACAACAGGATCCACCGTGGTTCCCACTATTCCCAGCACCAAGCACAGGGGTGAGTTAATCTTGCTGGTTAACTGTTACACTGTTGCCCCCCTCAGTGCTGATGCCTTGAGATAAGTATCTAACAGTGGGCACTAAATAAAGAAGAGGAACAGGGAGGGGGTAAAGAACAGAAACATTAAAAATGGGGAAATTACCAGAATTTCAGAGCAAAGCAGCACTGAGCAAAAAACCAGTATTTCTCAAGGGGTATGTGCAAGGTAACTAACTACAAAATCTAGACGACCAAAGCCTCAGGTTTCCTCCAGAAAAACAGAAGGTGGGCTTTACTCAACAGAATAAGTGACCCTCTAGGGCATCTAAAAATCAGCTGGCTGCCTACAAAGCAGAAGAATCTTGTGTCAAGTTTTAAAATAAGGTGAGATGTTTTTTTGTATGTTTCATCTTTACATGAGCTGCTGGGTACCTGAGGCCTACAATTTGATTCTCACTCATCTGAAGATGAGTGTGTGTGGCAGTGGGGTACATGGATGGGATAAACTTCAGATAGAAAAATCTGGTTTCCCTGGTGGGGATGGGTGAAGGAGGATCCAGAAAACAAAATCACACTTAGAAGATACATTGTTACAAAATCCAGATTGTAAGATTCATTACCTGCCATTTACATCAACGTAAAAAAAACAGGTATTTTAAACAAAAAGTTTGACATTCAAAAACAAAAAGCATGATTTATAAAGATATAAATATCCATGAATTTAGATAGCTACTGGAAGAATGAGACTTTTAAAAATGCCAGTGTTCACAAGACTCCCTTTCATTCTAACTGCCTCTTTCCTACGTGTTGGTAATACCAGGAGTCTTAAGAGAGCTGCTGTGGTCAATGTCACATTCACCTAAGCCTCTTTTCTAAGCCTGTATCTGATGAGGAAAATGTGATGAATCTTCTGCCTCAGCTTTGATGCTAGGGAAAAAAAAAAAAGGTTATGTAGCCATGTAGCCAGTGAATCAAATCCAAAAATTAAAATACAGCAGTGATGGAATATTTATAAACTACCCAGAGGCTCAGAAATTATTTTACTACATAGAGAAAATTCATCAAAACCCTGACCATAACATCCATTTGGAAGCCAGAACTTAATTTCTTACCACCTGTGTTTTATATAAATGTTCACAATTTAAAGTGATAACAAATATTTAAAAGGTTTTAAAAACAGAATCATACAGACATTTTTATTGTTCTAAATTAAAAATAGTTGAATACAGGTAGTAATTTGTAACATTTCACCAAGTAAGGATATTTAGGAGATGTGATGATTGTATATTTTTGGATTTCACACTATTGCAAACTGTAAATGTAGGTCTTCAAATGGTAGCAAACTGAAGCAGACACATTCTTTCTGGGTACTTGAGCACTTTGGTAAATTTAAACTTGGCTTTAGACAACTTTTAAGGAGGGTGTGAAGAAATCGTTTTGGCTGTCACCTTGTGTTTTAATGGATTTCCTTAACATTTAGCAGTAGAAAATCAATCTGAGTCTTTTTAGTACTCAGTTTTCAAGGTAAGATCTATTTCCTGGCTAAGCCTGTTACTTCAGTCTTCATGAGAAATAAAAATGCAAAATTCCTCAGCAAAAGTGAAGTATAAGAAGTCTTACTCCTTTTAGAAGAATGTCGTATCACCTGAAGAAACTATCTTTAGTCCAAAGGGAAAAAGAGTCCACTAGGCCATCACAAATTTCTCCTAGGATAGACCAAGACTACAGCAGCACACAGCTGCCACTGGCTTTGCTACAGGCATGCTCTTTGACACAAGGTGTTGGCAGGTGAGTCACTCAGCAACAGACTGGCTGGTGGAGTGAGACAGCTTTTCTGGCCTCTATTTCGAAGGGATAAATGGGAAAAGAAAGGAAGCTCCGCTAATCTTATGGACTGATAATGCAAATACTTGCCACCTTAGAATCACACCTTCCAAGAGAGTAGTAGCTCCTCTCTTACCTTAGAGCTTGCCAAGACTGGGGCATAACACACAAAAAAGAACCTCATGAAATGCAACCACACTGGTTTTGTTAACTTCTCTTTGACATTTCATATATAGTCACTTTCCATACTGCCATTTTCCCTCTTGGACAAAAATGGGCCAAGCAAAATAAGTTGGCAAATTCTTTCTCTGATCCAATAATTACAGCTTCCTAGTCAGTCAATCCCCTCTCCTTAAGACAAGGCCTTGGAAATACTAACTTGGACAGTCACAGTAAAGACACCTTTCCTGAATGAGCTGTTGCTCTTTGTTAGTTATTGCTCATTAAACGATAAAGCTGCTAATAGGTGCCTAGGGATGGCTGTTAAATAATTGAGATTGTTTGCTCAATATATTTGTGTTTGAATCAAAAGAAAAATCATACACTGCTACTGTTTGACAAATACCACCTGTCAAAAACCAAAGCTCATTTCTTAGACAAAAAAAAAAAAGTTGGACAGATCACAGAGATCTATTTGCCTCAAAAGTACAGAACAGAACAAATATTTTTTGTATTTTAACTTTAAAGAGCTTTGTCCCTAAGTCATCTTCACTGTCCAATCTGGAAATACTAGGTGATTCATTCCCACTTGCTGGCTATCTTTAAAACCCAACTAAACTCTCTTAATTTTAGAGCTGAGAATCAATTATGGGCAGAACTACAACAAATGTTTTCAGGTGCATGGCTCAACATCAAGTTATTTTCTTGTCTCTGGGCTGGCAATGTTGCTTAATGTTTGCCACTATTACATGCAAACACTTCAGGCAAAAGACAAAGAACTGTGGTGAAGTCTCCAGGGCTCTACAGTAAGCTATCAGGGTGGCCTTCAATGGGGAAGGGACAGCCTTCAACACTAGACAGGTCTGTCACAGCACGAGACCAATGACTCATTCTCAGGACGGCCTGATCTAGAGGAGTCTCAGTAACTGGCAAAACTCCATACAACTTCTAAGTAACTCACTTCTCAAGATCAACGGAGTTTCACTTCCACTGGCACCCACAGTCTAAAATTAAACTTGGTTACTAAGAAAATCAGTTGTGTTTGAAGCAAGTTGAAACACGTAATCAAAAAGTGCTACAGACATACAGGCTCCCTGAAGGCTTCTTCCAGGTAGCTGGGTGCTAAGGATTACTCTGGTGGCGAGGCTGATTTCACGGGCCTCTTCTCCAGACGCTTACACTGTGCAATGACGGTGTCAAAAATAATGCCCACATTCTTGGGATTTAAGATCCCTTTACAATGTTTAACCATTTAGAGACATTCTTCCGTGCCAACACACACACTTCTTCACACTGGTGAACAATAAGGGTTAATGTTGGATGCTGCTAGGGACATGCATTCCGATTATAAAATCTTGGTCTTCCCTAGGGTTAGCAGCCTAAATACCATCAAGTGTTCTCTAATAGTCCAGCATGATTGGAGAGTACAGCTACGTACAAGACAGAAGTATAATAGAAAACTGATGTGATAAACCAGACCTTAGGGAGGACAGGATAAAAAGAAAGGAAGCTCCACTAATCTTATGGGCTGATTATTTTTTTAATGCAAATACTTGCCACTCAGGAGTGAAAAGCAAGGAAAGAAATCTTCCACAAGCAGGAAGTAAAGGCTCACGCATGAGGGGGCACTCAGGCAACCAGCACTGTCTAGGGGCCCTCTGGGCCCCAGCAACCTGAACACTCGGGAACACGGAATGTCATCAGCTCAAAGATGTTTAAAAGTTACATGAGAGCATCCAGAAAGTCACATATTCCCAATTCACATGGCTCCCTGGTTAATAGATGATTTCAAACACAAAATAGGCCCTTGAATATCAACCTGAAGCTTTTGATTTCAGGTTCAGGTTAAAAAAGGAAAACTGAAATCAAGGAGGGTGAGTGCTATTGGATTGGGGCTGAAGTACTTTCTAGTAGCTGAGGATTTGATTAGTTCCTTGATACCCTATGCAGAAGGGAATCTTCTTTTTAGACCCAACTGTGGTGATGCAAGTAAGGGCTTAACATGTTTCTGAGAGTAGAACCAAAAAAACAGGCCGGCAGCTCTGGGTGATTCTCTAGGTATGCCTATTCTAGTTAGAAGTACTAAAACTTTAGGCAGCATCTCTTCCCTCAAGAAGCTTACGATCTGCTCTAAAGAGGCCCAGGTAAAGTGCCAAAGAAGCAAAGAAACTTTGGGAGATAAAGGAGCTATTAATTCTGCTGCCTGAGGAGACCCATGCAAATGCAAAAAAAAAAGTCAGGGATTCTGAACAGCAGCTGGGATGCCACCTCCATCCTCTGAGCTTTTTTCTGACACACCCTCCATGGCCACAGCCCCAGGATGCACACGTAAGACTCTACAGGCAACAGATCACTGTGTAAAGTCCAAAGACTAACCCCTGAAGAACAGGGAAGAGCTATGATGTGGGGACATTACCCCCACCTACATGCCCATCAACAAGACAAAGGGGCCAAACAAGCCCGGTCTGGCCCTCATCCATTGGAGTAGAGAAGAGTTCGTGTTTCCAACAAGATTTTTTAATAAGTGGGAAACTTACTCTCTACCCCAGCGTTTTAAAAAGCAAGCAAAAACCTCAAAATATAATGTTCCCAGAGGAACTGTAAAGGTTGATTTTATGCATCATTTATCTTACTGTGTTGTTCTTACCTAGTTATGAAAAGGTTTCTACCAATTACAGAGAAATAGTGTTGGTGGTACAGTGGTGAGCATAGCTGCCTTCCAATTACAGAGAAATAAAAAAAGGCACTTAAATGTCCACTTATAGATGAATAGTTAAAGATGTGTATACACACACTGGAATATCAGCCATAAAAAGAATGAAATCTTGAGTTTTGTGATAACATGGACAGACCTACAGGGTATTATGTTAAGTGAACTAAATCATAGAAAGACAAATACTGTATGATTTCACTTATATGTGGGATCTAAAAAACAAAATAAATCAGCAAAACAGAAACACTCATAGATAACAGGTAAACTAAATTATCAGTGGGGTCACGTCAGAGAATGAAAAGTACAGTCTGGAGAATAGAGTCAACAAGACAACAACTATGTATGCTGGCAGACAGTAACTACACTTATTGTGGGTATCATTTTGTAATGTGTAAAATTACTGAATCACTAGGATGTACAACTGAAACTACTAGGATATTATACATCAATTATACTTCAATAACTAATTTTTAAAAAGAAAAGGCTTAGATATTTGGGATAATAAGAGCATTCAGAAAATAATATACTCTAATACAACATCATAAAGACAGGAGCCATTAACTCTATACCATTTCAAATGCACTTTTTACCTTTTTCATTAATTCACTTCTGGAAGTAAACTGTGGCAGGTCTTCTACTTCAATCCCGTCAGCCATTTCCATCACCTTGTCTAAAAGGTCTTTGTTGTAACTGCATAAAAAGTAGTTAAGATATAAACCTTGGAAGAATTACTTGTCACTGTGGGCTAACAAGAAAATGCAAGGAGCTGGACTTGTGAACTCAACTCTCAGAAGACTGATTTGATACTACAGGGTAAACTGATACATATGCAGCAGCAGGTAAGCTCTGGCTTTCAGATACAGAAGTGGCTCTGGGAATGCCAAAAGAACAGGTGTTTCAAGATTTGCGAAACAAAAAGATTTACAAAAAGAGAGGCACCGTACATCATGGATATGCTGTGAGGGCCAAATTCATTTTTTAAATATGTGGAATGCTGCTCTAATGAAAATATCATCTGTTCATTTGTCCAATTTTCTGATATTTGCCTAATACTGGATCCTGTGAACCAGGATTTCCCAGGGGTACCTGGAAGGCAGAAAAGATGGATGGATGCATCTGGCACTGCTTCCCCAAATGCTGTTCTAAAACTTCCAACATCTAAAAGCAAAACCAAGTGGCTTAGGACCGGAGGGTCCACGTGACCAATAAGACAGCCATAAAGGCACAGACACGGGAACAAAACCAGGTCATCTTATTATCCCAGCACAATTTCAGGTGGGGTAGAGGGGATGCCTTATCAGACACTTCAAAAACAGTCCCTTGAAAGCATCTGTTATTTTCATATGAGGAAAGGATGAAAGGAAAAAAGGCTGGTTCGTGCTAAGGGTCCAGCAGATTGGGGAGTAGGGAGAAAAAGCTAAAGGCCACACAAATTACATCCTGCATTAATGGTAAAACCCACTACTCTTGCCAGAAGCTGCGTGGCCCCATATATCCTTCCCCCATCTCAATTTCTTCAGTGTCAGTTGGGGATCTCATTTTATGTCTCTGCTCGTTTGCCACGTGGGTGAAAGGAGCTAATGGACTAAAAGTACACTCTACAAAAGTGACGGTTTGAGCTAATAATAATACAAACAACAATGGCAACTTTAGTGCCCACCGTGTATTGAGCTCTTGATGGCAACCGGTGCCACGTGTTTTCACCCTTTAATATTTCAGTCACCACAAAAACTCGTTTTACAAACATGGACACTGGGGCTCAAGGAGCTTAAGTATCATCTCTCCAGGGGGCTCGCTAGGAAATCAGCCGTAGGCCTGGCCAGGGCCGGTGGAGGTTGCGGGCGGGCTCAGCCCCGGTCGGGAGGCAGCCCTAGGGGAGGGCTGTGGGTCGAAGGCAGGGACGGGGTCAGCCAGCCGGCAGGGGTCCGCACCTGCAGCCCAGGAAGAGGTGATTGGCCCAGACCATGGAAAGAGACAGCAGCTGGTCCAGGCGGCCGCCGCCGTCGGGCGGGTCGCGGTAGTCGGGCAGGTGGCGCCGGATGAACTCCATGCGGGCCTTCCACTGCTTCTCGCTCTCCGAGTAGGCGCGGAACTGCTCCGCGAAGTCGGTGGCCTGCCGCACTCCAGAGACCAGCTCCTCCACGGCCGCCGCCGCCTCGCCACCCACCATGGCGCCTTCCGCTGCTGAGGACGGGACGCGCCCGCCGCCTTCCCGACTCGCAGTGCGCCACTTGCCAGCGGCTAGAGGGGCCCCGGCGTCCGGCGTCTGCACGCAAAGACGGGCCTAGAGCGCCCTCGCGGGGCGTGGCGGCCTGGCCAGACCTGGTCCCTCTGACCTCCCACCGCCCGAGGCGCCAGGCGAGGGTCCGCTGAGACACTGCAGGGGTGGTTCTCGGTCGACCCTGCCGGGTACCGGTAGGGAAACGGGGGCCTCCAAGCACAGAGTCGCCTCCCCGCAATTAGGCAGCTGAATGCCGGCCGGAGCTGTGATGTGTCCTTGCCGAGGGGGTTCCCCAGGCTTCCGGCCCGCAGACCGACCCCCTCACTAATGAGGACTTAAAATGTGTGGCTGCTGCGCCGAATCAGTGGTTGATTCCCAGAGGTCTAAACACCCTGCCCAGGTGGTGGCCCACCTTCCTAGAGCGAGTCATCCATCCAATTAAATACCTGCCAGGCCCTTTGCTAAGTGCGTGCTAAGGATGCAGTAGAGCATGCCGCCCTGCTCTAATGAACTTCACCATCTACTAGAGGAGGCACACATTAGAGAAATAACTACTCAAGTGAAAATATTCAACGCTGAAAATTTTTAATAAGGAGAGTCAGACACCATGAATAAGCAAGGGACCTGATACAGACTTGGGGTACACGGAAATGACGCCCGGGAGCTGAGGGTTGCTTAACTTAACTCTTAGAGAATTTACTTACAGAGACAAGATCAGCTTTCCTCCCTCATCCTTTTTTTTAAAACATCTTTATTTAGATACAATTCACATACCATAAATTTCTCCCATTTAATGTATATAATTCAATGGTTTTAATGTATTCGCAGATATGTGCAACCATCAACACAATACAGAACGTTTTCATCACCCCCTAAGCAAACCCCATATCCATTAGCAATTTTTTCTTATTGCCTCCAGCCTCTGGCAACAACTTTTTTTTTTTTTTTTTTGCATATGGTTGTCTAATTTTGCCTGTTTTGTCTCTATGGATTTCCTTCTCTGGACATTTAACATAAATGGAATAATACAATAATACAATAGGGAACCTATTAGATCAATGATTTCTCAAGGCCAATGAGGCTGAAGTGATTTCTCAGTTACTGTACTTGAGTGCTTCCAAGGATTGGAAACTCACCACTCACAAAGAAGCTCTTCCGTCTCAGTTGGGTTTTGCTACCTGACCCTAGAACAGACAGCAGAGTGACGCCAGCTCACCTGCTCATTTCCTATGCATACAACCATTCTGGCTCCTTCCAACATCTTTTGTGACTAGTCTTATGTGACTAGCTCTTTCACTTGTTTTCACTTGAAAACAACAATGTTTTCAAAGTTTATCCATGTTGTAGCATGAATCACTACTTCCTTTTTATGGTCAAATAACATTACATTGTATGGATATACCTCACTCTGTTTTAACCATTCATCAGTTGCTGAATAGTTGGATTGTTTCTGCATTTTGGCTATTAAGAATAATGTTGATATGAACATTCATGTAAAGTTTCGGTGCGGACATGTTTTCAGTTAATTTGACTATATAGTGAATTACTGGATCTAAATGTTCAACTTTTTGAGAAACAGACATTGTTTTCCATAGCATCTGCACCATTCTGCATTCCCACTAGCAATTTATGAGGGCTCCAATTTCTCTACATCTTTGCCAACACTTACTATTTTCCCTTTTTTGATTACAGCTATATTAGTGGGTACAAAGTTGTACCTCATTGTGGTTTTGTTTTGTATTTCCCTAAAGACTAATGATGTTGAGCATCTTCCACGTGTTCATTAGTGTTTATATGCTTTCTTTGGAGAAATATATATTCAGATCTCATGCCCTTTTTTAAAAGAAAGTATGTTTTAAAGCAATTTTAGTGTCAGCAAACTGAGCAGTAAATACAGAGAGTTTCCATATATCTCTTCTTCCTCCTCCCCCCACATACACATAGCCTCTGAATTATCAGTATCTCCCACCAGGGTGGTACATTTTTTACACTGACACATCCTTATCATCCAAAGTCCATAGCTGACAGTAGGGTTCACTCTTGGCGTTGTATATTCTATGGATTTTGAAAATGTATAATGACATGTACCCACCATTATAGGATCATACAGAATAGTTATACTGCCCTAGACATCTTAACAGTGTCTTTTGAAAAGTAAAAGTTTTACATTTTGATGAGATCCAATTTATTTTTTCTTTTATAAGTGATGCTTTTTGGTCCTATCTAAGAAATCTTTGTCTAACCCAATGACATAAGATTTTCTGTATTTTTTCTGGACGTTTACAGTTTTAGGTTTTACATGTAGGTCTAGGATTCATTTCAAGTTAATTTTTGTATGTGATGCAAGATAATGGGCTGTCAAGAGTGATAAAGGATATAATATCTTACCCTACTTGCAGACTAACAAGTTACCGTGCCACAGTTTCGATGGCTGCTGGCAAAAGACATAAGACTCTTAAGGCAGAGAGAAAGGACTTTATGACTCACAGCAGAGCAAGCAGGATGAGTTTCATGTTTGCATTTGTTCCCCTTGTCCCCTAAGTGCCACAGGGGCTATGCCGAAGGTCCCAGGTGGATGAAGTACAGACAGGTACAGTGGGTTTGTATCACAGCTGAGGAACCCCAAGCTTAAGGAGCATCAATCTTTTATAAAGGACTGCAAGCAAACCTGCCCAACCTTTGCCCCAGAGCGTTACATTATCTTTTTTATCTGGACAGTAAACAAACTTACCCTTTGCTCTGAAAGTAGACACTATCTCTAGGCTGTCTCAAGGGCAAACATCCTTGAAAAAACAGTCTGAAACAAAAAGGCAGTGAGTGTCTAACTCTTAAGAAGTGCAGATACATTAGAGACCCATGGAGAATTGTCTCCCAAAATAGGTTGAAATTATTATTATTTTGCATATGGTTGTCTAACTGATCCAGTACAATTTGTTGAAAAGGCTATTCTTTTTCCATTCAATTACCTTGATACCTCTGTCAAAAATCGATGAACTATGTATGTGTGAGTCTGTTTCTGGACATTCTCTTCTGTTCCATTGATTTATGTGTCTGTCTTTCTACCAATACCATACTATGTTGATTACTGTAGCTCAGGAGTTAGCAAGCTTTTTCTATAAAGGATGAGCTGTATATCATTCCTGTGTCATACTTTTCTTTCTTTCTTCAACCATTTAAAAATGTAGAAAGCATTTTTAGCTTGTGGGCAATACAAAACAGACTGCAGCTAGATTTGGCCCATGGGACATGATTTGCCAACCTCTGCTATAGTTTTATAATAAGTCTCCAGATCATTTGAGTCCTATGACTATGTTCTTTTACAAGGTGTATTGACTGTTTTAGTCTATTGCTTTTCAGTACAGACTTCAGCATTAGTGTATCAGTTTCTAGAACCATTTGGGAAAAATTAACATCTTAACAATAATGAAACTTCCAATCCATAAACACAGTATATCTCTCCATTTATTTAGGTCTTCCTGTTGTGATACATTTTTAAATCTATTGAAACATTAGATTTATACACATATTTACCATTTTATTTATTCTTCATTCCTTTTCTATCTCTTACTTTCCATCTGGTTTCATTTTTCTTCTACCTGAAAATTTTGTTAGCATGCCCTTTAATACAGATGTACTGGTGGAAAACTCACTTTTTAAAAAAATTAAACTATCATTGATATAAAATCTTATGATGTTTTCACATACATAAAACAGTGGTTCAACATTCACCCATGTTATCAAGCCCTCACCCCCTCCATTGCAGTCACTGTCTGTCAACATAGTATGATGTTATGGAGTCATTAATTGCATCCTCCATTCTGTACAGCCGTCCCAGTGACCTACCTATGTTGTGACTGCCATGTACAGTCTGCGATGTGTAGTGCCCCTTAATCCTCTTCTCCCTCCCCACCCACCCTCCAGAACCCTTCCCCTTTGGTAACCACTAGTCCCTTCTCGGTGTTTATGAGTCTACTGATCATTTTGCTCTTTCTGTTTTGCTTTGTTGTTATACACCACAAATGAGGGAAATCATTTAGTACTTGTCTTTCTCTGCCTGGCTTATTTCACTGAGCATAATGCCCTCTAGCTCCATCCATGTTGTTGCAAATGGTAGGATTTCTTTTCTTTTTATGGCTGAATGATATTCCATTGTGTATATGTACCACCTCTGCTTTATCCATTCATCTACTGATGGACACTTAGGTTGCTTCCATATCTTGGCTATTGTAAATAGTGCAGCAGTAAACATAGGGGTGTATATGCCTTTTTGAATTAAGGATTTTGTTCTCTTCAGGTAAATTCCTAGGAGTGGAATGACTAGGTCAAATGGTATTTCTATTTTTAATTTTGAGGAACCTCCATATTGCTTTCCACAGCAGTTGAACCAATTTACATTCTTACAAACAGTGTAGAAGTGTTCCCTTTTCTCCACATCCTCACCAGCATTTGTTGTTTCTTGTCTTTTGGAAAGCAGCCATCCTAACTCGTGTGAGACATCTCATTGTAGTTTTTATATTTGCATTTCCCTGATGATTAGCGATGTGGAGCAAGCTCACTTTTTGTTAACCTGAAAATGACTTTATTTTGCCTTCTGTATGAGTTAAACAGTTGCATAATAAATTTCTCCAAAAGCTAGTGACTTAAAACTGTAAACATTTATTGTCTCAGACTATTGTGAGTTAGGAATTCAGGAGTGGTTTAGCTGGATGGTTCTGGCTCAGGGTCTCTATGAGGCTTCAATACATTTGCTGACAGTTGCTTCATTTATGTGAAGGCTTGTTCAGGGCTAGCAGAGCCACCTTTAAGACAGCTCATTCACATGGCTGTTTGCCACAGTCTGTTTCTCACTACGTGGGCCTCTCCACAGGGTTAGTTCAATGCCCTCGCATGGCAAGGGTCTTCCTTCAGAGTAAGCAAACCAAGAGAGAGCAAGGCAGAAGCCACAATATCTTTTATGACCTGGACTTTTAGGTCACATACCATCACTTCTAACTTATTCTGTTCATTAGAA